GTGTATGGTAAAAAAAGACAACTCTTCTTTTTATTATGTTGAAGATGAGCTTTATATATGATCGTACTAGTTGTAAAGAGGTAAAAGATTTTATGAAATATTCTACAGGAAAGTAACCTCTAATTGCCTCCAACAACTTCCTCTTGACCTCTTGTCCAAATGGGCGACGAGGAGAGGGTAATGCCTTGGACCTTTGCGCACGTGGGCAGACGGGTGGAGGGTGGCTTCCGCTTTCTCCTTCCACCCTAGACACTACAGGGCGATCATATATTGGATGAAGATTGGTTGATAGTATACTCTCTATCATTTGTCCCCGTCAATCGGGGTTCTCGTGAGATAGGTCCGAAGTGTAACGTTTAGTTCATTTAACACGTCAAGTTTATACCTCTTTGATCTATTATCGACTTGGTAGCACGTTTAGTTCATTATGCTTGAAAGTTGCTAGTGGCGATCCATCATTGACCTACCCCTTGTATTGTCAAGGAACGCACCTTGATCAAATGGGGTTGGGTTTCCCGACCTCCCTATCTCTTCCCGACCTCGACATCTCGGGTGAAGGTGGGGGTCGAATTTTCTAACCTTCACACCTTGGCAAAGTGGGGTCGGGTTTCTCGATCTCCTTGCCTCGACGTAGCCACATCAAACTTACTCTCATGCGGGTTGGATTTTCTCGACTCATATATCTTTAACACATTTCACCTTGTGCCTTTCGTCATGACAGATTTCTTATTATGTGAGTTGGTTTTTCTTGACTCATGCACTTCGTACACATTTTATCTTGTGCCTTCTACTGTGATAGGTTTCTTATTATATGGGTTGGGTTTTCTCGACTCATATGCATCAGGTACATTTTATCTTATACCTCCCGCTGTGGTGAGTTTTTTCTTATGCGGGTCGAGTTTTTTCGACCGACGTACCTTGAATATATTTTATCTTATGTCTCCTATCATAATGATTTTCTTCTTATATAAGTTGGGCTTTCTTGACTCATGCATATAAGACACATTTTATCTTGTGCAATGAGTTTCTTTTATACTTTTTGAGGTGGTCTTCGCACATTGGTCACTAATACTCTTTCTGAGGTTATCTTCATACATTGGTCACTTTTATGCTTTCTGATGTAGTTTTCATATATTGGTCATTTTTGCATTTTTTGAGGTGCTCTTTTGTTTTTGACTTATAGCATCAATATTACGTCACAACCCATCTTGACCGTGTACGAGATGCTGGCTTTGTTATTGTACAACAACCCCTCATGATCAACAATCTCCATGAGGTAGAGGGGTTAAAGAGGAAAAGGGGAGACCTAACGCTTGTTGTTGAGGCAAACGCTTGAGAAATTGTGCTGACGAGGCAACTAAAAGAGGTCGAGTGATGCCTCATCGAGAGCTAAGTTCGATGAGGGCACAACTATGAGCTCGTCGAACAAGTTGCGAGGTTTCAAGAGGCGACGATCCTTGTCTTGTCTTGTTAGGTGTTGGTCTTTATTGAATTATCGAGTCCACCTACCCGAATTAGTCCCTGTGTCTTTTCCTTATATCATCGGGTTCGTCCACTTGAGCAGTCTCTACCTTAGTAGACTAATATCTCATTTTGGATGTAGAATTCTGACTGAGTTGGTGTAGTCTTTTCAAGTAATGAAACTTTCTTTCCTTAACTTGCAACACCTATACCCTGAAAATATATATTTTTTATAATTGATGTTAAAGACATGATGGACCAAGGCTTAATACACGAGGCATAGTAACCCAGGCCTAACCTTGAGGGATGCCTCAGGGATAGAACCTCTTCAAGTTTGCAATGTGTCATGTCCTTGGAGACACCACCCATTCTATTGTCCTAAGACGATAGGTTCCGTCACGAACAATCTCGATGACTCGATATGACGCTTTCTAATTCGGCATTAGCTTATCCTGAGATCTAGTTGGGTCTTTGACTTCAGTTTTTTAAAGCACTACCTCTTGTCTGGGTGCTTCAAATGGCGGCTCCACCAACTCATGATGTAGGACGGACTTGGTGAAGTTTCGAGGGTCCATAGGTGACACCTCAAGTTGGGTCCTGCTTCTTCTTATGCAACTTTTTACGCTTGTCCAAGACCATTGCCATAGCAATGATGTATTGATTGAACCTTTGACGTACCTTTGGTACAATTACCGGTGGTCTCTCTATCAACGACCAGAAGAGGCGAGAGGGCTTTAGCCCCATTATGAAAGTCTGTATTACGAGTGACGAATGAGTATCTAGCATGCTTAGAATCTCACTCATGAATTGAGTGATGAAGTTTATGAGTATTTCTTCCTCTTTCTACCTAAGTCCGAGGAGCGATGCCACTTGTGGCCGTGGTGTATATTCCCGATGAAGTGAATTTCGAACTCCTTTGTAAGTTAGGCAAAATAATTGATAGAAAGTAGCTTTAGGCGAGCATACCATTCATGTGTTGATCTCTTAATGTGGTTAGAAAAGTGTAACACATTAAGGCGTTTGAATCGTATAACCACATTTGGGCATAAAAAGTTATAGAGTGTTCCATCGAGTCGACATTACCATCAAACACCTCCAAGGATGGGAGAAGAAAGTTTGTTGGAATTGATTCCTCTTAGATTTTCTGGGTGAATGATGATCGACCTAAGATGGGGTCGACCAATGCTTCTTCTTTTGATTGTTAGAACTCTCATTGCATTTCCTCTAAATGTCAGTCCATCTACCATAGTTAGATCCTTAAGGAATCCTATGTCAATTCAGCCTTCGATTCAAGCAGGGTAGAGTGGTGGTGCGGTTTACTAAATTCCACAGTTGGGGTGCAAAGTGCTCCCTCAATCAATAATTCAACGATCCTCGAGCACTCTTTGGATGTCGACACTACATTGGGTCAAGGAACCTTGATGGGTGTCGGTGTTAGTCGCGATAGAGTTAATGATGGTGGTTGAGTTGGTGACACCATATGTTAGGTTAACTGAGAAAAAAGTAGAGTGACGACCTGCATTATGCTTGTTAGCATCTACACTTGCTGAGTGAGATTTAAGAACACCTCGGTGGAAACGATCAGGTGGCTTAGGATCGTCCCTAAGAGTAAGAGACCCTGATCATTGAATAGATGCTAGTATCATATCAATGTCTGTGTCGAAATGGATGCACTCATGTGTGGAAAGGGCGGTTGCTGGCCCCTCTTAAGTGAAAGTACTATGAGTTAGTAGCAAAGTCTTTTTGCTCAAGCATTTATTGAGATGGTTGATAAGTGATTGTCCTTACAACATCGGGCCCAGGTTAATCCGACATATAGTCTAGACTCATATATGTAAGGTTATCCGAGGTGTCTTCGATATGAAAATGTCGAGCTCCTAAGATACCACATATTCGAAAATCGAGGTTGAGAGATATTTCTCGATCCAATCCCTTCGACACCTAAGTATATCAGTGTGGACGTGAATGATAAAAAAAGATAACTCTCCTTTTTATTCTGTTGAAGATGAATCTTTATACTTGGTTGTAAAATGATAAATTATTTCATTAAATATTCTATTGAGAGGCAGCCTTAAACCTTCTCTAATAACTTTTGTCTATATAAACAGTATAAGGGTAGGGGATGACCTTTAACTGTCTACCTTAATCCCTTGCCCATGTGGATAGACAAATAGAAGATAACCTTCATTGTTTTCTTTTTATCTTTAACATTATACGTGTAATAAGAATTAAAATACTCCCTGTCACCTACCACCTTACTAAGACAACCCGCAACTTCCTTCTCAGAACTGTATACAATTCTTAACCTACCAACCATGTTCCTCACATCTATTCTTACAGATATTTACTCTCATATATATTATACATTAAATATAAATACAAATTTTTTGTAAATATTTGTATTAAGCACAATAAAAGTTAGTAGGCAATTTGTCCATTTATTATTTTTCTTTCATGGTTAGGTGGAATCACCAATCACCTAGTTGAGAGAAAACTTGTGCACATGATACATGCAAGCACTATAAGCTATTCTTCTCTTTAATCTTCTTTACTTCTCCAAGTACTAACTTGAACTATTCTATCATATTATTTACTGTACATCACCTGCTTCATCTGTTTTATATTATCCAACTAGTATGAATCCTTATCATCTGAAAAATTCAAGTCAATAGTGCAACATATTGAAATGGATTTCTAGAAACAGAATAAGAATCACCATGACAATTTAGCTGAGTTAGCATTACCATCATTTATCTAAGTTATATTTGATCATGTTCTATAACATGATGTGTTATGTATGTGGTATGCTCCAATGATTCAATTCTATTTTTAATTATTAGAAGGTGGCATTGCAAGAACCTCCATTTTGCACTCTGCTTCAGCTGAATCTTTTGGTTTACATGCAGAAGTAGATAGCAAGGGAAAAATTATCCAAACCTTTAAACCTTTGAGAGAATGTTAAATTAATGTTTGGAGTTGATCAAATCAATTGTACTTTCAATTCCTTAGTTTTAGTTCAAGTTTCATTGAGTTTGAGATGTCTAAGGTAAATTGAATTCATTTGTATCAGATGTTCTCTTGCATGATGACATTGTGGTGGGAAAATAAAGAATAATTAGTCATTAAATCTCAATAATTTTAGATTTTTTTTTGCCTAAATCATGTGGCATACATAGTAGTAAAGAGTTAATTTTATTACTCAACTTTTTGACTAAGTTAGGTGACACTTAATAGGATGGGTAGTTAATTTTCCCATATAATCTCATGCAGAAATGGATCAGTGATGAACAAATAATATCAAATAAATTATATCTGTCCATAAGCAAAATTAGAATATAAATAATTTATTAATGAGATAAAATAAGGCTAAATTTATTAGATAAAGAGCAAGATATCATTTTTATTATTGATTTTTATGTTATATTCAAATTAAAAAAAATTTAAGTTGTTCATGGCTTTCTTTTTTGTTATTTATGGATAAATTGCTACAAAAAATAACTTAAGCGGAGCATATATTTACCATTCACACTACCATTTTCGTTTCCTTATGTTTGATTTGGTTCAGAGCGCTCTGCTGTTCCCCGTGACGTACATTTGACTCCTGACGCTTTATCCGACCTACAAAACCCTAACCCTAGTACAGATCCATCGATCCGCCATCTCCGTATCACAATCCCAGGCTCCGCTTGGTGGTTCACGATGAGGCCGTAGCCTTGGTTCCTTGATCGGTGTCGGCGTTGGTGGTGGATCGACTTCCGGTATTGCTCTTCTCTTGTTGATCCATTCTCAGTCGAGTCCAACGAGCCTTTTGCTGGTTTTCGCAGCACGATTTCTTCTGGGCAGCTGTCCCTTCTCTTCCCCGTCTTTTCTACTCGATTTGGTGACAATGCGAGTGGCTAATCAGCACCTACTCTTTTTCTGTCCCTGTTGGTTTATGTGGAATTTGCTCGTTGTTTCTCTGTGCTGTGATGTGATGTACTTTCCTTTGGTTATTGATTTGTTCGGGAAAGAGAAAGGCGTGTTTTTTTGTGCAATCAGTTGAAATGTCCGTAGTTTTCTTTTAAATGTCTTGTTTGGATCTCCCTACTTTGTCCCTATTCTTTTCCTTCAGTAATTGAAACATCCATTCTAAACTTGTGTTTTTGGTCCAGAGCCACAGATTTCGTGATTATAGTGTGGAATAAATAAATAAGGGATTTTGGAATTTCAGACAATTGTTGGTCTGGTTTAACTACAGCATGTCCGAACAATGACATTTTTCTAGTGTAATTTTTTCATGCAATCGATGGCTAAAACATGAAACTAGCTTTGGATTTCTTCATTCTCCATATAACTTTGGATTTGTTACTGTAACAAGTGTTTATTTTCCCCAATAATTATTGTACTTTCTTGTAATGCAGTGTAACCCTATTTCGGGAAATCATTATACTGGTTCTGCAAGTATAAGAATACGTACAGTAATTAAATCTATAAAGACAAGCTTGATGTTAGATGTTACTTTTTCGCTACCATTTGATGGTTATCTGAGAGATGGGCTAGTCATTTGATATCTGATCTTGCCCTTGAGGTAGGCTATTTGAGCCATCACCCAGTGATGGGCTCGTCTGGTGGAGCTTCTGAGATTATTGAATCAGGTGAAGAATCAAACTTGGCCAGTCGTTACGGTGGATCTAAGACACTGAGTATTAAGTTTAAACCGAATGCACGAGATGGCAAGTCCCAGGATGTGGAAGATGACCTTCATGAACTTGTGAGGGCAATAGATCTCAGGACATCATCAAGGGTTATCGGTCCTTCTAGTCAGCTAGGGGTTGACTTGTTGAGGAAGAATGCGTTGAAGAAGCCAGTCAAAATTGGAGCTTCTCGGCCATCAGGAATAGGAATATCAGAGTCCGTCACCTTAAAGCAGGCTTTGAGAAGGTTATGCATTTCCCAGGCATCAGAGATGGCTGCTATGAAGAGGTTATCAAAACCTGCTGGGTTATCTGGGAGCTCTGAAGCTGGAACAATTAAGAGGCTTTGTGCATCTGTGGTGATTCAGTCAAGCGACTCTGGCCTTCCTCTAAATGGAGAACAGAGAAATTTGGTCAAAATATCCATTGTGCCTGAAAAGGTTGCAGCAGATTCATCAAAAAAGGCAACTGCATTTGGTCAAGTGCGGAATTTGGAATCATGTACTTCGAGTGCTGTTTCATCTCCTCTAGCTGCAGTTACGCCAAAGGTAACTAAGATCAGAATCCAAGATGTAATTAAACCTACATTAGAAGAGCTCTGTGAATTTCAATCAGCTGCAATACAAAAAGAAAACAAGGGGAAATCTGTTTCCAAAGCACCTGTTTCTAGTTCACAGGCTGTTGTTGCATCAACCAAACTTATCATGACCCCATATTTAACCAAACCAGTACATAGGAATAATACCACCAAAAAGAAAAGAAAGCCTGAGCCAATTTCAGTACCCAGTGGTTCCATCAAAGGCAGTGAAGTTGAAAAAAGTGGTGTTACTACATCCAGAACCAAACTACAGTTTTCTAAGGAACCTGTTGTTCCTGCATGTGTGACAATGCCTACGGCTGGATCATGTTGTCCCAAGAAACCTGCCGCTCCTGCATATGGCACTATGAATCCATCTGCCAAAATTAGTATGGAAGATGTTGATAGTGGTGCAAGCAAAATTTTTTCCAGCCCAAATATCCATGGCAGTGGTAGAGTAGCTGGTTCGAAGGCAAGTGAATTATCTAGCTCAAGAGAAAAAGGGGAGTGCTCCCATAGTTCTAAAAGCAGCATTGGGGACTACAGCAGCAGCACTAGCTTCAGTGAAGAGAGCAATCAGAGTGGTTTTAGTGTTAAAAGCTGTAGGCCTCACATGTCCAAGGATGTGAAATGGGTGGCCATCCATCGCAACCTAATTCAACTAGGAAGCTTAGGCTTAAAGAACTTTAAGCTTCTCAAGCGACTTGGATGTGGAGATATTGGAACTGTTTATCTTGCTGAGCTTGTTGGTTCTGAATGCTTATTTGCATTGAAGGTGATGGATATTGAATTTCTGATCAGCAGGAAAAAGATGCTGAGAGCGCAAACAGAAAGAGAGATATTGCAAATGCTGGATCATCCATTCCTTCCTACCCTCTATGCTCATTTTACAACGGATAACCTCTCATGTTTAGTTATGGAGTATTGTCCAGGCGGTGACCTGCATGTCCTCCGACAAAAGCAACCTAGAAGGAGTTTCGCTGAGACTGCTGCTAGGTGTGTAAAATAATTGATGCTACATTGCTTTAGTATATCATTTTCACCTCGAAAGCAATTTTAGTTGTCGAGATCCATTGTTTTGGTTCCATCTATGCCATGTCATGATTGGCAACTGGAAATAGACTAGTATGGGAATTGAAGCATTTGATAAGTTATAAATGCAAATCTTTCTAACATCGAGCCCGGTCAAGATTGATTCATCTTCTCAACTTATGTTCTTCCAAGTAACAACAGGAAGAATCTTGTACAAGACACCTTCAAAGTAGAGATTATTTGAGCTAAGACAAACCACCCATAAGGAACCATTATTTTATTAGTTGGAAGCAAACTTCTGGCTAATGTCAGATGTGTTAAACAACAGATTTTCTTCTATTTTTAGGTATTTGTGGAAGCACTGTTGCTCATCTGGTTTTCAATCCTTTTATCAATGCAAACATAGCAGTCTTCTTGGAAAATTTGAACCATTTGCCTGTGTAGCATATGCAGAATTCAGATAGAATTAATTTGGGTTTTGTTGATGTGTAGCGTCGTTGGTTGTTGTAAACCAAATTTATGAATGGATTATGGACTAAAAATCTGACAGTGGACCTTGGTGGTTCAGTCCAATTTTCTGCTTGCATGCTAGGCTTCTTAGAAAAATGATATTTCATTTTGCTTTTTCAATTGAGTGTTCACGTCCATGCTGGAATAGAACCTGCAATTATTCTGTATTGCTTTTGCCACATGTTGCCTCTTAAATCTACAAACTCATTCTTAGCTATGATTACTGCAGGTTTTATGTTGCAGAAGTCCTCCTTGCTCTGGAATACCTGCACATGTTGGGTGTGATTTACCGTGATCTCAAACCAGAAAACATCCTGGTTCGTGAAGATGGTCACATCATGCTTTCTGATTTTGACTTGTCTCTCAGGTGCACTGTAAGCCCAACCCTTCTCAGATCATCATCGTTAGGTACACAAGAGACAGTAAGGCTATCAGGACCCTGTGCTGAGAATAGCTGCATTGACCCTCTTTGTATCCGGCCATCTTGTGTTCAAGTTTCTTGCTTCACTCCTCGATTGGAATCTTCCACAGTAGCAAAGACACGGAAGCTAAAATCTGACGGGCAGGGGCAGGTAAGACCGCTTCCGCAACTTGTGGTCGAACCCACTGGTGCACGCTCCAACTCCTTTGTTGGGACCCATGAATACCTTGCTCCTGAGATTATCAGAGGAGATGGACATGGAAGTGCTGTGGATTGGTGGACCTTTGGGATCTTACTATATGAGTTGCTTTTTGGTATAACACCCTTCAGAGGACCTGGAAATGAGGAAACACTGGCTAATGTGGTTTCTCAGAGCTTGAAGTTCCCAGACAACCCATCTGTTAGCTCTCATGCAAGAGATTTAATTAGAGGCCTTCTAGTGAAGGAGCCAGAAAGTAGACTTGGATCAGTCACAGGAGCTGCTGAGATTAAACAGCATCCATTCTTCGAAGGATTGAATTGGGCGCTGATACGTTCTGCTGCACCACCAGAGATACCGAGAAGCCATGATTGTGCGACCCCCACAGTATTTCATAAGAAAAAAGAAGGCAAGTGTCTTGATTTCAGGGCTTATGGAGAGGATGTGGAGTTTGAGCTCTTTTAGTTAGATTCTCAACTCTAACTGCAAGAATGTACTAGGCATGAAAGAAGCCATGAGTTTGCAACCCATGGGGTTTTTCATTAGGGGAAAGAAGGTAAGTGCCTCCATTTTTAGGGGATATGGAATTTGAGCTTTGGAAGAGCGGACTTGGTCTGAAAGAAGCCACAATTTGCGACTCCCTCATGCTGTTTCCTAAGAAAAAGGAAGGCGAGTGTGTCGATTTCAGGGCCAATGGAGAGTATGCGGAATTTGTGCTCTTTTATATAAATTCTTGACTCTAAATGGAAGAGTGTAGTTGGTTTGGAAGAAGCCAACGTATTGAGATCCTTAACAAGGATAAATAAGATTAGTGTTTCAATTTTAGGGTTTACTGAGAGGATGTGGAATTTGAGCTCTTCCAACCCTAAATGGAAGGATATACTTGTCTTGGTGGCCTTTGCCCATTATCAGTTCCCACATGTTGTGACACTTTCTATGATGTAAATGTAGGTCTAGATTCTTGTACCTCGTCAATTACATGAATATGTTTCTCAGAAAATGAGTGTTGTATATGCTCTTATTATTCTTGACTTTTTGTCTTGTCAACTAAATCCATTTGTCTTGGTGGCGTACAGCAGCAATTTTGTGCAGTTTATTGACAAGTAATAATATTGTATATAAATAAATGTCTGAAGTCTCAGGAAATTTTTTGAAAAGTTATACCTCCTAGTAGAAGAGAGTCATTCGAGTTTAAACCTAATTTTTCTTCCTTTAGCTCCCTGTTTCTATATTCTCCTTAGAGATAATGTCTGAGCTGAGCTATTTGGGGTTGACCTGATGAGCCTTTTTACTGTCATTGAATTTTGTAAAAAATTATATTCTTAGATGAAAATGAATATTTAAATTTTTATTTATAATTTTTAATAAATATTTCTGGATTGCATTCTATTTATTCTTATACCATAAATAACAATTGTTTCATATCTATAGAATGTCACCCATTTTATCTTGTTATTTTAAAAAATAAAAATAGTTATTTTACTGAGTAACTACACACATAAATCTAATAATTAAATATTAAACTCCTTCATTATTTATTATTCAACTGAATATGATTTTATTTAAGAGATGAGCCATTGTCAAATTATTTAACTTTCAAACTATTAGATTCTAACGGATTAGCATTGATTGAAATTAGAGATTTAAGTAGGATGAAGAATTTTTTAGTAAAATAGGATTCGTTTTATAAATATATATCTCATATTTTATATAAGATTAACAGTATATTACCAAATCAATTTAGATTATTAGGTACTTGGTTATGCATTGTCAGATTAACCTTGAATTGGGCTGCTAAGATAAGAAGAAAAGGATTCAAACAGTAGTTTCCCATGATTAAGGGATTAACACTAAAACTAAACCTAAGGTTTCAGATTGCATTATGGCTAATCATCAGGTAGCTTGATGATTACAACCCTCGCAAGAAAGAGAAATGGGAGGGCAAAGTTGATGAGACCCGGGCATTGTCTTGGTGTGGCAGCTGCTGCAGCACTACAATGATCAGTGACTGGCCACCACCCACTCGAGTTGAGAGAGACTGCAAAATGGCCGCTTCACATGAAAGCAAAGCAAACTCCTCACTCTGCTGCTGTCCTGCATACATGCAGAGACATCATCCCTCACCCATGACAATAACTTGTTGCCAAAGCTTTTTACTCATCAAGCATGGATTGCAAGAACTCGTTGTCAAAGCTTTTACCCATCAAACTAAAGCTATGGATCGGATTTGGAGAGGCAGAAATGAATCTTAGTTCTATATCAAGGAATGTCGTATTAAGAATATGACATTCCTTGGCATATTCTTAGTTCCATGGATTCCAGCTGGTGGTAGCTGATCCATTGCATCCTCGTCTGTGTGTGTGTGTGTGTGAGTGTCTGCCTTGCCCTCTACGGTTCTCAACCTGAAGCCTCCACTCGCCTTCCTCTCTACTCCACGCACGTCTTCTCAAAAGATATATGTAGCTTTGAGTCCAAGAAAACCCTACGAGCAATGCTAATAGTGGCAGTCCACCCACTGCTGATGGAAACACCTGACGCTTGACCCAAATCAACACTTGTGATTAGGTAGTCACCCGTTTGCGTTGCATGTGGATGCATGATAAGGAAGAGCACTTGCTAGACACCACCGGTCTCTCGTATATAGAGAGGAGGAGATGAGAGAGCAGAGTTCTATTGGGTTCTGAGACAGCTGCTCTCTGCGACGTCAGGGATGCAGTCTCCGACTCCTCCTGCACAGGAGCAGCAGCAGCAGCAGCATCTGGTTCTACGAATCAGGAACTCCGCGCATAGCCACAGAGAGAGCGCATCAGAAGAGGAGCGGGAAGATGAGGAAGCATCAAGAACAGCCCTGTCGACCTTCCGGGCCAAGGAAGAAGAGATTGAGAGGAAGAAGATGGAGGTCAGGGAGAAGGTGTTCGCCCAGTTGGGCCGCGTGGAGGAGGAAAGCAAACGACTGGCCGTGATCCAAAAGGTACGTCTTTGACTCACTCCACTGGTTCGATTCGATTCGATTCATTCACGCCATCTTCACGCTTCTTCGCACGCCAGGAACTTGAAGCGATAGCGGATCCAACGAGGAAGGAGGTGTCAGCCATACGCAAGAAGATAGACGCTGTCAACCGCGAACTGAAGCCTCTCGGCCACAACTGCCTCAAGAAGGTAAAGACATCGAACGACTGCTGACCTTCAGATCATCGAACCATCGCCATGGTTCCTTAACTTGCATGCGTTGATGAAGGAGAAGGAGTACAAGGAAGCTCTTGAAGCCTTTAATGGGAAGAACAGGGAGAAGGCGCAACTGGTGAACAGACTGATAGAGGTCGGCGCTCGGAACTCGAAGAATTTTGGATTTGAGTTTTGATTGACTGATTGGTTAGATGTGGTGTTAGCAGTTGGTCAGCGAGAGCGAGAGGTTGAGGATGAAGAAGCTGGAGGAGCTGGGCAAGACGGTGGACTCTCTTCGATGACCCATGGATTGCTCGTTGCAGTGCTTGGATCTCCCATGGCGGACTTGAATTGGTTCTCCTCATTCTCTTCTTTAGATTGTGTGATTTGGCACGGTTTGATGAGTGTAATAAGCTGATTGAGATATTGAAATCACTTCTCAAGTGTCTTTAAAGTCGATGGTGGATAGTGGAAACATTAAAAATCAAAAATTCTTTTTCCGAAGACGATAATAATAAAAAAGAAAAGAAAAGATGGAAAGATCTCTGATCATTCAAAAACAAAATCAGCTAGCCAATGGACGGATTTATTCATTTACGGATGTCGTACATAAATACTTGATACCATATTTATAGACCTATAAGTTTCAAATTTAGCACAGTCGATCATCGGGAGTGATAGCTAACTACTATTAAGTATCGATAGAGATCATCCGCTCTCGATGTCATGAGAGAAACATCTCATATATTTTTGCTTAGGCAAATCCCTAGCTATGGTCATTCAAATTAAGAGAGAAAAAGTTCTCTAGGAGAATCTGATTAGAGTGAGACTCGAGTAGAAACTATATAGGCTTGATAGCACCTTACTCGGTATACGGTCTCTAGGATATTAGAGGGATGATGGACTATCGATACACGGTAATTGATTGGATTCTCCTATATCGTTTAGGGACTACAACGTAGTGGCCTAGTACATATAATTGAGTAAATTATTATGGAGATAATAATTCACTAAGCTAGAAGGAGTTCTGACATGTATAACTCACGACCAGCTCGATATTGGGCTTAAAGGGTCACACATATATGATAGGTATTGCGACGAGTAAAGGTTCAGATATGAGATATCCGTTGGAGTCCATATCTTATTGGATATCCAATAAGCATCTGAATTATTGGATCATATAGATGAGATCCAATAAAAGCCAATAAGAGATCATTGGGTAGAGACCCACTAATCTAAGAGGCTTGGGTAGTTGGATAGAGATCCAGTACCCAATAGGGCAAGATCCATTAAGGTTAAGTTGATAGGGTATCACGCCCCCCGAATTATCACATTCAGGAGGTGTGACCCTGTCTAAAATCAATAATATTATAATTCATCATCAATTCAATCCAGGATCCAATCTAACAATTTGATGATACTAAGAATCATTCAAAAATTAATATTCAAAATTCATAAACATGTACGTTACATAAATCATAATCCACTTCACTTAGATATTCATAAAATCCAAAGGCAACTCAACTAAATATTAACCACAACACAAATCTATAATCGTAGAAGTATATACAATCACAAAAAGATAATTATTTACCATGAGTTCTTATCCTTATACAACTTCAACTTATCATTCCATACACATGAGCGGTCCTTTAAACTTTACAACACATAAGTATCAACAGATCCTTAACATTACATCAGAAGTAAAGTATACTATACAACAAAAACCTATCATCCAACAAAGATTAGCTCAAAAATCTTCTAGCCTTTCACTGCTTTAACCCAATTCTAGCTTTTCAGTACGTGATAAGCTACCCTGAAAAATTTATATAGCAATAGGGTGAGCATAAAGAGCTCAGCAAGCGTCTAACATATCCATGGCGATAGGAGAAGTTCAAGCAGGCTTAGTATCAAGATACAAAAGTAGAAATACAAGTGTTCATTTGAAATCATCTCATTTGATATAAAATCACAAAGGTTTACCTCATTTAAAAACAAGCATTAGACATAACAATAGGAGAAAGAAAATTGGAGCATTTCATTAGCAAAAGAAGCATTTAAGCATGTATCAAATGGCACATGAAGCATTTAGGCGCATATCAAAGGCGTAAGAGTGTTTGGGGGCATAATAATGACAAACGAAACACTTCAATGTATAACAAGTGAACCGAATAATAAACACAAGCTTGAATGTCATTTTTGATGTAGCATGCATTCCATTTTTATCCAAAGCATAATATGAACTCATAAACAAAGCTTTGGATATCATATCAATAAACATAGAGGGCGCTGTGGGACCACATACATAATGTGATTCATCCATTTCTGGATGACCACCAAGCATAAGTCTCCCACGTCTGGGAGCTCCATCCACCCACGTCTGAGTGAAGTCAATGGGGCCGGCAGAGCAATCGCGGGCTCTAAGCATAACTCCCTTTACCATTTCTGACAAAGGTTCACAATATCCCACAAGTCACCAGAGTACAAAAGGGTAGTATGAACAATAATATTGACACATATCGGAAGCATATGCGGAACAACGAAGATATGCATGTGCCTTTATCAAACAAGGAAATGCAAACAAAGCATTACATAATAAATTTCAGATATACAATAATTTCAGGATGAACAATAGGATGAAAATTGAAGAAGAATTTAGCAGAAATCAAATTTCCAATAGGATGAAAATTGAATAGGCAAAACCCAACAAAGTTTTCAATTATAACAGAATTTGAATGGTACATTTTCTGAATTGTTTGAGTGACCAAGCATGCTCCAAATCACTAAAAATAGGTGTTATTGGAAAGTTGTTTCAATCTATTTTCAGATGAACTCATATTTATAATTTTTTGAGTTCTTAACAGAAAGTTACAACAAATAGAGTAAAGGAAGGTCAAAATTGATCATCCCTGTTTTACAGACTTGATAGAATCAATTTAAATAGATGTTTTAGAAGGCAAACATACTTCAAAATTTCCAAATTATGTGTCAAAAGAAATATAAATAAATCCAGTTTCCAAAAAAACAAGCTTTGTATAATTCAGAATTTTCTCTAGAGAGTTATGAGCAATTTTGTAACAGAAGGTTAGAAATTTTAGTCCCTATTTTGCAGAATGTGTAGGGTTAATTGAAACAGAAGTCTTAGTAGGCATTTAAAATCCGAATCATTCAATCTAAGTGTCAAAATAAAGATATTTGAGTCTACTTTCAAATGGGTTAGACTTTGCCTAAATCAGAGTTTAGAGCTAAAAGTTAGATCCAAAACAATGTATAGAAGTCAGATTACCAAAAAATTTCAGATTCATGGCTTTGTATCAAAAGGAAAGAAAGGTTTGGTACTAAGCTGAAATCTTTTGAATTATGAAGAATTAAAAGGAAAACAGAGATTAGGAATTCTGTAGGAAGAGGTTAGAACACTTGCCTTAGATTAGTTTGATTCCCAAATATAGGGAGTTGATGCAAAACCTCAAACAAAGTTTCCTCTTCTTCTTCTTCTCCTTCTTCTTCTTCTTCTTCTCTTCTTCTTCTCCTCAAACTAACGTTGGCTGCAAAGTTTCTTTTTAATGGTACTTTAAATTACTTAGGTTTGGCTCATGCTAAAATAGTGAGGTGGCAAGCATGCATGGGGGTTTAGGTGTCAACTTTAGAATAAATACAAGTGACTCATCCTAGTGACTCATCCATGTTAATGACATATGTCCTCCATTTTACTTTATTTATTTTTATTTACTCAATTCTGAATATTCTATAAATCATATCAAAATTTTATTATTTACTCTTAGGTCCTTAGCCATAAAAGTTAATATAATATTATTTAATAAAAAAATTATTTATATAATCCTCATATTTACAAATAAGCATTTACTAATTTTTTTTTTAAATAGGGGATGTTACATAGGGTACCTCTATAAATAAGAAGGAACCAAAGGACCATATGCTAGACCTCTTTTAGCTATCACATACTATTCTCCTCTTTCCCTCTCCTCCTCAACCTGTAACCCTATTTGGGGCATGTGTGTTGGGAAATCTAAGGGCGACATCACATACGCAGTGGAAGAATAGAAAATAAAAAATCTTCAAATTTCCCATAAATAGTGTTTATTGTCATGTGAAGATTGATATGCAAAATTCATAAAATAAAAAACTGCATATATTAAAGATTGTGTTTTACCTAGGGAAATCGTATATTCCTAAATCCCTACATATTTGTAGGAGAGGATGGAGGAAGTCAAGCGTCATCCTTTTAGCGGTCATCCACACAGCAAGGCTACGATGACACTCCTCAAATCTTCAAGCCTACTATCTGAAGATGAAAAAGAGAGAGGAGAATATGAGATGATAACCAAGAGAAGTTCTAGCCTATGAGCCTTTAGTTCCCTTATATTTTTAAGGGTCTCTCATCAACTTAACCCTAATGGATCTTGCCCTATTGGGTATAGAATCTCTATCCAACTACCCAAGCTTCCTAGTTTAGTGGATCTCTATCCAATAATCTCTCATTGGCTCTTATTAGATCTCATCCATAGGATCTAATAATTCATGAGCTTATTAGATATCCAATAAGATAGGGGTTCCAACGGATATCTCATATCTGAATCTTTACTCGTTGCAGCGCCTACCATATGTGTGTGACCCTCTAGGCCCAATATCGAGCTAGCCATGAGTTATACCTATCAGAACTCCTTCTGGTTTAATGAATTATAATCTCCATAATAATTCATTTGACTCATCAACTATGGGCGTACTATGCCACTACGTCGTAGGTCCCAAACGATATAGGAGAATCCAATCCGTTGGACCTATCTATCCTCAGTTACCATGTATCTATAATCCCTCATCCATCTAATATCCTAGAGATCATATACTAAGCATGGTGTTATCAAACCCATGTAGTCTCTACTTGAGTCTCGCTCTAATCGGATTCTCTCGAAGAACTCTTTCTCTCTCAATCCGAATGACTTCGGTCAAAGATTTGTCTTAGTAAAAACATATTGGATATTCCTTTCATAATACCAAGAGTAGATGATCCTCTATCGACACCAGTAGTCCTCGTAAGGTTGGTTGCCACTCCTAATTACCGACTGTGCTAGATCTGAAACTTTCAAACCTATAAGTCCAGTATCAAATAGTGGAGTACTCATACAAGACATCCTTGGTATCTCAAGTCTAAGGACCAGGTACACTATCGGGACAACGGAATCGTTGTCTAACAATAAGGTATCATTAATAATCCAATATTCTGTGAGCAGATCAATAAGTGAACTTATTCTCCAATGAGAACCTGCATGTATCTCTAGTATTCGCACACGAGCAGCTATGAGACCAGTCACCGCTATCATATGTACGAGTATACAGTATACTATTCTGTTTGGTTATCTCGATGCCTCTTTCGAGTAATCTATTATCAAAATTATTTAGGATTTATGTTTAAAGGTGAATCGGTCTCATTATCGT